AGCCTACCAGCCAATACGAAGATGTACAAAAATACAAACCATACAGCCCCTTCCGCGTTAAGCCATCGAATAAAGTAGAATATGTTATTGCAAGAATGGACGATGTAGTCAACTGGGCGCGGAAGGTTGCTTTACCTTTCTTTAATTATTTTCTTTAGAATTCCATTTGGCCCCTAACTTTCGGCCTTGCCTGCTGTGCTATTGAGATGATGCACATGGCAGCACCTCGTTATGACATGGATCGATTCGGCGTCGTCTTTCGTGCCAGTCCTCGGCAAGCTGACTTAATGATTGTCGCCGGCACTCTCACGAACAAGATGGCTCCTGCCTTACGCCGAATATGGGACCAAATGCCTGATCCCAAATGGGCCATCTCCATGGGGTCCTGTGCGAACGGAGGTGGATACTACCACTATAGCTATAGTGTCGTTAGGGGCTGTGATCGGATAATTCCTGTGGACATATATGTTCCAGGTTCGTTTTAATTTATCTACTTTTGTGGGTTCTGGAATCCCAGCTCTATGTCCTCTTTGTTACTACTCACGAGCAGCCGCTCCTTTCCTTGCTCCACTTGCCAAAAAAGTGAAGGATGCCAACATTGTACAGTTAAATTCTTTATGCCTTAGGACTGTGCGCGACCATCTTCAATGTGTATCTTATTCATGTACTCGCTAAGCCAACTTATTAGGAACGCCTTAAGATGGAATTGCAGATGTGTCCGGATATATCCCCAGAATATTGTTAAACTAGTGTTAAAAGGACCTTTCTAGGCAATGGCAGTGGAAAGTCTCTTACGTCGTCCTTCCAAGATAATTAATCTATCAGTCAAAATTTGATAAGAGGAATTAGTTGATGAATTTGCCTTAGGCATCCATTTTTGGGGTGAATTAAGTCTTGAGATGGTTTCGTGAACCTTTAAATAACTACCGGAAGCCTGATTAGCAGCATATTCTCGGGTGACGTCACCCCTAACTTCTACTCCAACATATTTAAATCTGCCGACCTCTGCAGACTTGTAGTCTTCATTCCTAATTTTCCCAACCCGTACAAAATGTATTCAAGAGATTTTTAAGTTTTTGAAACTTCGATATACGAAGCAGTTGGTTTTCTGACTTGGCAATCCGCGACTTACTTCTCGAGTTCCTCATAACCTGACCTCAAGAAGACGACGTCATTTTGGTCAAAGTCGGTTAGCCAGTATTCAGACTCCAGTTAACCACACGGCTTTGATGATGTAGGTAAATGAAATGGGCGGCAGGATGCATCCTTGTCAGTATTTGTTTTGGGAAGGTACATAGAAAAAAGGCGTTTCACTAGTATACGTTATTCATCTTAACGAGTTGTCGTTTTAATTATTGGGAGATGTGCTTATTTTTCGAGACCATGTTTTTTTCCAGCCCAAAACTACACGAAGCGTGCTCACGAACTATGCTCTTGTCCTGTCTGAGACGGTTTCCCATCTACTCTTAAATAGATGGTTTTAGAGTAGAGTGAGTCACCCGCGCGTCCACCTTAATGTGAAATCTGCTGGTATGCCACATCTCCTAAATCCGACAGCGTCGAAGTGGTTAGCTAATAGTTTGAACAGACTTTTTGAAAGCTGAATTTAGTCGAATTGTTGACCCTGTTGTCCTCGGTCTGCGGGACTTTTGTGCCAGTTAGGCCTGCCTCCAACCGGCTGCAGTGGGGGACAGTCATTCGGTATATGATAAATCTGTGGTATGTCGCCTACTGTACAAGTCAGCATTCACACTTTCAACGGTTTCCTGTAGAGGGCTGTCATCCGCGCCCCTTGACTGGACTTGCCGGGGTAGCGACTTACTGTTAAGCTAGGTCATTAGACCTATCCCCAGTAATGCGGTGTTGATGTGTGACGGTTTGAATCGGGCTCAATTTAGCGACCCGTATGACTCTTAGTCAAGATCAAAATACCTTGTGTATATTCAGCAGAGTTACATTCCACAACTTCCTGAGTAAAATTTCAGCGATACGCTTTACCCTCGAATCTCTCTTCCTTTCAGGCTGTCCACCAACTGCCGAAGCCCTCCTCTACGCAATCTTGCAGTTGCAGAAGAAGATCAAGTACATGAGGACCCAGCAATTTTGGTATAGGAAGTAGACCCCAACTTGCCGCGAGCCGTTATGTGTATAAAGTTCAGTTACCAAAGTTTTATTCTATCGCGCCCGCTCGTGGAGCTGCCTCTTGCACTAGATAGTTTTCGCTGCCACACTAAATCAGTAATCTTTTGTTTCCTTTTAATAAATTGAATTAACATATCTCGCGTCTCTCTCGCAGCTCTCCTTTTCAAAGCACAGGATTTTCCGGAGCAAATGAAACGATATTTCTAGACGAAATTTGTCGCTCGGGACATTCTACTAGGTAGAAACTCTAGGTCTTCGAAGGGTCCCCTAGGAGAATATCAACGTTTGGATCAGGAGCTCTCACTGCCTCTTGCACATGCTGCATCCACTGGACAATAATGATGATACAAGTTGTTATTATCCTCCACTAGGTAATGTAATAAGTATTCGATATTGCGGGTTATTGGGTACCGTTCGGTGTTGAGGTACTTTATCCAATTCTGTAAGTTCGGTGGTTCGTATCCGAATCTGATGTTTTCACTAGTCCGCAACATTGGCAATACTTGGTACACAAGTTAGTTTTTAAGGTACCCTACTCTATTCGGTCCTACCATCACAGAAATTTATGGTCTGCCTGTGGTCTCGCAAATGGGGGGTTTCTGATGCCACGCCCGTCTTTGTTTAATTGTCGTTCCACATTAAAGCATAGAATACTGACGAGCTGAGCCTTTGATAATAGGCGTCCACCGAACCTCGTTGATGGTTTGTATTAGGTCTGACAGGAACTGTTGGAGGACTTCGTTGTGGGATCTACAAAACGCGCTATCACAAGGTCACAGGTTGCGAAACCATGTTGCTTGTCGCTTATTCCGACTACATAGCACTGACTGTCAATATAGGCCGCAAAGTGAAGCAGGAGGGTCGCAGTCATCACTGCGAAGAGTTCTACTCCTCATTGAATCCTAGAACATTGTGGGGGACCAATAGACAAACTGATCTATGATGGTGGCTGGACCGTAGTTCTTGGCAGCAACCCAACCCTCCGTATTTTAGTTTTAGTTTTGAGACCGGATAGTTTGGGTCAAAAGGGATGTAGAGGTAGTTGACGCGGCCATTCTTAGCCGTATGTGTGCGCCAAAAGTTGGGATAGGTCGGAACATTTATGACGGTGGGTATAGTCTAGATGAGCGTTGTTCAGGTGGGAAAATTGACAGGAATGGAGTTTTTCTTAACGGAGAAAGGATAGAAAGTATAACTTGGGACAATATGTTAATTCAGGCTTAGCAGCAGCTAAAAATAATTTCGTGGCCCGTTTATTTTACTTAACTTGGAATCCAAGAATGTTGCAGATATAGGCAAGCGGGAGCAGTTTGCGTTCTGTTTGATTGCATAGTTGTGCAGGGTACTGCAGCGATTTCAGGTTGAATATGGTAGCTTGCGGACGCTCTGAATAAATTCAGATATCGGAACTACGCCGCTCCCTTTCTACGCTCTTCAAGATTTCGGTTCTCCAGGTAGGCGGACGTCCACTGTCGTCACCGGGTTGGATGTACCCGGTTGATCCGAAGCTCGGAGTGGATGCTTCGGAAACTGAGGGCGTCCGGACAACGGGATATAGAGGCCACTCGCTGACGAGTAAGAGACAATGTATCCTACCACATTTGTAACAAAAATACTGGCTAAAGGCCCAGGCTCGCGAGTTTTGCCGATATTCTGTCGCTGTATCACGCAACTGTGAGTGGTTCGACTCAT